GCTCCTTACCGGGGGCAACGGAAACCTCGCAGGCGGCCACCGCCACTATAAAGGTGGGCCCAAAGCCCCGCCCCATAAAGGGGCCCCCTGAATCCCTGCCCCCCCGAGGCTCCGCCCTCCGTAGGGGACCTCTGAAGTCCCCTCGCTCGTTAAGCTCCGCCCCGCACCGGCAGCTCCGCCGTGAGGCAGGGAAACCCTATGCCCTGAACAGCGTCCCCTGGGGGTGCCTGCCCCCAGTTCCCCCCCACTCCGGCAGCAACGCTTGAGGGTCACAGACGTGTATTGGGGTGTGGTAGCGCTGGAGACGGTCCCCCAACAGAGTGAGGGTCCTAGGAGGATCCCCTTGGGGGTGGTGTCCCCATGAAGGGGTACTGGGGTGTCATGGATGGGGGTCTCTATCAAACTGAGGGGTGCCGGGGTCAGGAAGGGAACCCCCACCCTGGATAGAGGTCCCTTTGGGGAAGACCTCGTGGGGGGGTATTGGGGAAGAGGGTGAGGGGATGGGGGGAACGCATCTCAGTGTGGAGGTCCCGTAGGGGTCCCCCATAAGATTAGGAGTGTGAAGGTGTCAGGATGGGGGCCCCAGGGTGGGGTCTTGATGGAATGGTCCTGGGGGCTGGATCCAGGTGTGGGGATCCCGGGGCTGTCCCACTCAGACATCACCCCCCAGATGCCCCACAGGTGCCAGGCCAGCGGCAGGTCCTTGAGGAACAAGGTGATGCAACAGGTGTGCGGCAAGCACAGGTACATGTCCTCCAGCAGCACACTGTCACCCGCACCCCAAAACCCCTCAGCACCCCCAACCACCCCACAGCCTCCTCCAGGGGCAGCAACCCTGCAAAATACACTTCCAGGGGACAGTGTCCCTCCAAACCCAACCACAGTGAACTCAACACCCTACTCCCCTAAAAGTGGAGAGGGGGCTCCAACACCCAGCAACGCTCTTCCCACACCTTGACAGCCCCCCCTGGGAAAAAGTGACCCCTCAGCACCCTCAGGTCTCTCAGAGACTCCCCCAACACCCATGGGACCCCCCTCTCCCAGCACCCATAGTACTGCCCTTAGCCCCCCCTGGAACACCACCCCATCCATATACATCCTCCTAGACTCCCCCCTTCAGGTCCCAGAAGACCCCCAAAATCCTCAGTCCCCATAGCCCCCCCTCAGCCCCAATAGCCCCACCCTTAGCAACCATGGAGACCCTCCTAAATGTCCCCAGCCCCACAGAGACACCCCCAGCACCCATAGGACCCCTCCCCAGCATTTATGAGATCCCCCTCAGCACCCCTGGGACCTTTCCCACCCCCTAAGCCCCCTGGATTCCCCCACAGTACCCATAGAATCCCCCACAGCCCCTCTGGGACACAGCCCCCCCAGCATCCACAGCTCCCTGCCAAACACCCATCCGAGGTGGGGGGACACAAGGACATCAGGAGGGACACAGGGCCATCGAGCGATACACAAGGACATCGGGGGAGGACAAGGCCACCACGTCATAGGGAGGGAGTGAGGGGACAACAAGGACATGTGGTAGCTGGAACAGCATGGAGGGGGAGACCTCTGGGGAGGGGGGTGGTCCCCAGGGTTTCCATGGAGTGTTTGAGGGGTCCCAGGGTGGATTTGGGATGTCCCAGGGGCTTCCCAGCAGCTGTTTGGGGGTCCCAGGCTGGATTTAGGGGATCTGGAGGGCAAGCGTGGAATCCCAGGAGGGTCCTGGAGGGTGTTTGGGGGATCTCAGGGTGGATTTAGAGGAATCTGAAGAGGGATGGAGGGTCCCACAGGGGTTCCCAGGGACTTTGAGGTGTTCTAGGGTGGATTTAGGGGGTCTGGAGGGGGTTGGAGAGCCCCAGCAGGTGTTTGGCGGGGGTGAGAGGGTCCTAGATCAGATTTGAGGGG